CTCAAAGAACGCTCCCAAATAATTCAAATGGGGTTTTGCTGATATTACCATAAGCAGCAAAATATGCAACGTGGACAATCATCTGTCATTACCTCGCTTTGACCCAGTCACTTGAGTTATAATCGAGCCTTCATAACTGCTTGTTTCCCGACGTGGCCGAAACTAAAGGAAAATTACCGCAGGAACATCACAAAGTCACTTGGCACGGACAGACGTTTTCGTGGAATGATACACAGGCTCATCGTTAAAAAAATTCCAAAATTGCCGGCGTCTTGGGCATTCAGGACTCATTTAACCTCTGAACTCTCACCTCAACAAAAGTATGCAAAGGAAGTGTGTCTCGTGACACATTAGCAGTATCACTGACTGGATTTTGAGAAGACGGCCAAGAACGTTTTTAACGTAACTTGAACATAGCTTTCTTTTATGAAAACATTAACTTTACCTTTCTTATTTACCTTTATTTTATTTAGTTTCTTAAATAGTTCAAAAAACTATTTAAAAAATTCAAATAGTGTAAAATATTAAAAGTCAGGGCAAGATGCAGGAAAATCGACTTTCCACCTTTCATCTGAAATGTATAATCGATTTGTTTAGATCAAGTGAAACCGTCCCGAAAAAGAGTGGCAGAACACAGAAGAAAAAAAAACTTGAGAAGTCGAGCAGATGGAGCGGCGAGTTCACCTTAATTACGGGAACGTCTCAACAAACACAAACAATGGGAAAGAGAGCACCCTTTGTGAGCATAAAAGTGAAACATCCTTTCCAAGTACCACAAGATCGAAGGAACTAAAATTCATTTCTCGTTAATGACCAAGTCTGGGCGGTCAAACCAAACGACGGGAAAGTCGACTGCTTTGTCGGAGAGGGGGGGGAGGAGGAGGAGGAGGAGGAGGAACGTTAACAGAAGAAACTCGCTTTAAAAGACGCAAATATACAGAAAACCATTTCTACAATGACTTCTTTTAATCGCACATCTTTGAATCGCGCAAACAGAAATGTTCAAACACATTTTAAGCGACACAGTGTATTAGCCTACCTCAAGCTGGACACACCTATTTATACATCTGAATGTGTCCCGTTAAAGTCCGAAGGTCTTCCGACGCAGAGAGACGAACAGCTATTCTGAGGAAGACTAGTAGCACGAGTATGTAGTGACCAAGAGTAGTCAACAATGTAAGTATGCAAGGTATCAACCGAAGACTTGACAATCCTACATTTAGCATCCTCTTTGACACCTATAATTCATAAAAGCGTAGCATAATTAATTATTTTAGTTTTTAGAACAAACGACAAACAACAGTTTTTAGAACAAAACCACAGAAAGTGGTTTTCCCAAATGCAGCACGCATACCGCCCAAGAACAAATATAACACTCTCGCACTTTACTGTAAAAACTGAAATATTTTAACAAAAACAATCACCACGATTATAGCATTGCCACAGAATAGTAATACAAAACCGGTACAATAGTTTTTACATAGAAATAATATATAAATAGTCAATGTCCTCTAATGCAACACACGAATTGCAAATATTTAATGGCAGGCGGCTTCCCTCTTGGAGCCTGACTGTCGCAAAATAGAGAATTCTGTCGCAAGCAGTGACGAACTGATTATGAAAATTAAGTCGCGATGAGTAGTGTGAGAACAGGGGAATAACACTGAAAATATTTCCAATTTTCACTTAAATCGATACTGTTTCATGAGTTCCTGGGTATCGATGTAACGAATCCTTTGACACCTCTCACATGGCCGACCGTCACGTAGTTTTCTTTCAATGTCTGCGCGCATTGGAAATTAATAATTCAGAGAAGGGGAGATAAACACAATCTACGAGCCAAGAAACTACGTTTCCCCATTAAATATCACTTTCTTGCATTTTCTTCCAGTGCTCGTAATCCCTCTTTAGCAACATTACCACACGTCCGCTTTAACAGCTCTGAAATAAATCGTCCCTCGTCCTTACGTCCAGATCACTCAGCCAAAAATTTTGCGCAGTCGATAATACGAATCACTCTGAAAGAGCGCCAAATTCAGACGGACCCTGGAGAGGACGGGGCGGGACGGGGCGGGCGGGGCGGCGACGCGGGCGGACGGGCGGGACGGGGCGGGAGGGGCGGGACGGGACGGGGACGGGGCGGGCCGGTGGGCGGGACGGGGCGGGACCGGGCGGGACGGGGCGGGACGGGGCGGGGCGGGCCGGGGCGGGACGGCGGGACCTGGGACGCGGCGGGACGGGGCGGGACGGGCGGGGCTCGAATCGCGCGGGATGCCGGAAGTGCGCGAAGTGGCACCTGAGGATGGCGGCTGGGCAAGGGCGGCGGGCACGAGAAGATGGAGAGGAAGGAGGACGGAGACGGGGAAGGGAGGAGAACGGACCGGAGGAGATTGGAACGCGCATTGTTACAAGGAAGAGTGCTACGATGTTGTACTGTTTTGCCTCCTGGGAAATTATTTTATTTCAAGTGGGTTTCTCTTGGATCTTGGTTTTACGAAATTGAAGCGTAGCGGAGTTGCGGGAACCATCTTCGGGCATTCATATCCTAATTACCGTAACTGAAAGAATCAGATGGTGGCAAAATCCATTTAGAACCTTCACGTAACGTACGTTCTAGCACACTCATCGACCTTTCGCCCAGCCCCCAGCGAGTCAACAGCTGCAAGCGAGCACAAGGTGCTACGTGCCAGCAGCACTAGTCACGGTACAACGGAGGAATAGTTATTCCTGCGGGTTTCCGTATTTCAAATACCACCACTCAAGAATTCTCTCTTCTCCCCAAATTGCTTACTTTTGACAGTCTAAAGTGCGTCACAAGATACAAGAACATATTTTCCTAATATCCGGTAAATGAAAGTTTTTCCGGGCAATAACAGAACACCGAAGTGACGCATCCTTTTTTTTAATTTGTTTATGTAACTTACTTTATTACTGGAACATGACATTATTTCAGCATTTCATACCATGTCATTTGATATTAGTAGTTTTATTGTTCATGCGCCGTCGCAGCCCTTACTTTCCCTTGCATTTCCTAAGTCATCGTCTCACAGCGGCACTCGCGCCTACACAAACACTGCTGCTGCAGCAGAAACGTGGTGTTACAGCGGTGCGATATTCGATAGCATGCTTACCTTTTTGATACCACGAGTATTTTTTCTGCTAGCAAAACTTGGCCCAAACCTGTCTTTAAAACTTCATGATACACCTTTCAATGTCAGTTCTTCAGTCGCAACATTACAGTTCTATAGTATACAAAAATTCGTGCAATAAAAGCATTGCATTCTTGTGATATTAAAAATATTTCAAAACATGAAGCTCTGCACGGGACTTCAGTATGCCTTTGTATGCGACTTCTTCGGAAATTCAATCATGGATGTCCTCAAATAGTCAAGCTAGAATCTATAATATAAATTTAACACGGTTTCTAACTTGGGTGACATGGAAAACATTCTAATTTCGAGGAAAATAAATGCAAACAACCAAATGGAGTTAATTATTAAGAGATACACATTATTTTAACTTCGATTTAATTAATTTCCACACTTATGAGTTCAAGGATCAAATAACATATTGCCTGCATCAAACCCGCGTGCAAACAATCTTGGAATCGAAACACATTCAAGTGGAATCATTTAAAGTACAGATTGATTTTTAGAAATAATTGCACCGTCCGACGGAAGAGACAACAGCTGCTTTCACAGTCGGAGCACACCTCTGGCCAACAGAGGCCCTCACCGGTAGGAAGTGCAGTTCTCCCTAGACACCGAGAGAGCGCCTTCGAAGATTTATTTGAGGGCCGCCCATTGCCTACTTTATATGCAGTTGTCCTGTTCGGCCTGTGGTCAGTTTTGTGCTGGAAAACCGCAATCTTTGCCGAACCAATTATAATGTCCTTGAAATTCTCCATAATGGTTTCATTATTATTTCTCTTCGTTCGTCTCCCGAATGCCGCCCAGCGCGTGAGAGATGCTAAAGGAGGCGGTGGCGTTCCTCTGCCTGGGGACAGAGCGAGGGGGCCCGGGGCGAGCGAGCGGCTCCTGCGTGCGCGGGGTTGCGGCGCCCGGGGCGGCAAGCGAGCGTTGGGCGCACCACCTCACAACTTTCCACGTTTCTTCTCCTCGCTTAATAGTGGCATGATCATTAGTTCGAACGCGGTGGGGAAAGAAAGAAAATAAAAATCGGATGCCATAGAAACTCTTGAAAACCTTCGTGTGCGTTAATTTGGAGTTTTTAGATGAAACCTATTACAGGCAATATTGAAATTTCCATGAAGTAGGACACTGCTTGCGTGAAAAATATTATTACTTAAGAACGTAAACAAACGCATGCAGAAAAAATTATATTGAACTCAACTACGAACAACCACACAACAGTTTCGTAAGACTTTCAATGGAAGGGTCGAAGGAAAGATGCTTCCGACTGCAATTTCCTGACAGAGGAAAACTTTTTTCTACGTTAGTTTCTGTACACAATTCTTGCTATTTTCTACACACTTTCTGTACATCTATGAACGCTTTTTAAAGCGTTTCCATGCTGGTTGTTAGGACACTAAGATCTACATTTTGGATATATGAAATGGGGGTTAGCTATCTTTTCCAGAACCTTCCAATTACCAAAAGAAGATAATACTGAATTGCATTGAAAGTTCATAATAATCCGTATGTATTACAAGTGGTGTACTGGAAACAAAAGTTATCGGTAAGGTGCAACCGGAATTCCATATATTATTTACTCCATGTAAACGGAGTTATCAGGAAGACATTAGATGGAAAACCAGTTTTAACGAACTTTTGTTGGTTACTGAATTGCTCAAAGGGTTTAGTTCAAAACTGCGAATCTTATGATTATGAAAATATAATATTTATTCATTCCCTCCCACACAGTCGAACCCATCTGCCCTCAGCAAGTAAATTCGATGCAAGGGGGTTGGAGACCACCCGCCCGGCATGCGCAACCGCGCCCGCGGGGCGGAAGGGAAAGGAGGCGCGGCCAGGACTCACCTTGTTGGCCCGAGGCTGCTTCCGCAGGTTGGATCGGCCGTTGATGAGGACGTTTGCGCCCTCGAAGGTGACGTCGCAGGGCGAGGGCGGGCCGCCGCCCACCTCGTCCGTCGACGACTCGCCCGCCACCCCGAGGATGAGGACGCCATCGCCGCCCTGCGGGCAAGACAAGAGAGCGGCGTGACGTCAGCGCCCGCCCGCCCGCCCCGGGCGACCGCAGGCATCAGGCGTTATGCCTCGCGGCGGCGACGAAGGAAATGCGCCGCCACGAGCACTCGCACGCCTTCGAAAGTACCTGCGGATCCATGGCACCCCTCTAGTTTACGTTATTGACAAATCACCGCAGTAAATCGGTAAACAATCTTCAGTCGGTACAAGACTTTTCGAAGTTAAGGATGCCGCTTTTCATTAGTAACATAGTAATATAGTAACATGCACAATAGTAACATATGTGCATGTCCATATTGGAAGAATTTTCCCTGCTGTTTTTTGTCGGTTTTATTCTTTTTGTGGCAAGCTAATAATAAACCATCATTAGAAAAAGTTAATGGGTCTTATGCCATAGACATTAAATATTTTAAACCCTAAAATGAAATACATGGAGGCTGTATGGAGATAAATTTCAATCTAACAATTAATCCTTAACATAAATCTAGATATCGTGCTTTCCTTACAACTACGAGTAATAAACTCTCGGAGTAAATTTTTTTTCAAAATTATACAATAAATTATATTGCACATAGAATCTTAGAAATGAGAAGTACTTGTAACGATTACATTTCACACAACCTCCCGCTTATATAAAACAAGGATGGCCATTCATTACCAATCCAAATTATCGCGGTATTAGGATGTCAATTCGATGATAGTTGCGCTCCAAGGTCTAACGCAACTCTTACAAGACATCACTTCTTCATTAAGTGAATGGTAGCTAAATAATTCAGCGATGTCCAAAATCATATCTGGCAAATTTGTAGATGTCGCATTTTAGGAAAACTGCGAAGAAAGGCAGAAAATGGATGCGTAACACTTAATTATTGAATTCAATTCAGTTGAACATTCAATTATCCCACATTCTTCTTCACGATACTTGATGGTAACGCTATTGCTATTATTATATTATTATTATTATTATTATTATTATTATTATTATTATTATTATTATTATTATTAGTATTATTATATTATTATTATATTATTATTATTATATTATTATTACTACTATTATTATTATTATTAACTTTTTACATCATCTCAGTACCCTTCTAAAATGTAATACTCTATGACCACTCCACTGCATTGTTTATAGTCTTACATTCTGCTTACTCCTCTCAGCCTTAAACGGAAGTCAGACGAAGGCTCATTGATGTGTAGGCAGGGGGAAGGATTCTTTTTGACAGCCTAGCGCCGAGCTCCGATAACCCAGGGTTCATTGACGATTAGAACTAGCCTTGAACCGTCTGCATGTCTTCTGCGTTTTTTAATTTAATTTTATTTTTTGTTAAAACATCCCGTAACCTACATCTCTAAAATCCCACTTAACTGGATACAGTTCCACAAAAGCGGCAGCGCGTTGGTACCACGTAGTGTACACTCGGCATGGGTTAAATCAACGTCTGCACAATTAGTATGAGCGACCACCATTTGACAGAGCAAGTCCATCTTAAATCTGTCTTGTTACATATAATCCATTAATCTAAATAGAAAATTTAATAACCATATTATACATTTTGACATTAGTTTCCGGAGATATTTCACGCACAATTTATCTTCCTATTGGTAGGATTAATTAATGCAACGTTTACATGACATTTTACAATGCTCAAAATCGCAAATGAAAATATTAGAATGAATGTCATTTCATAATTGAAAATATCATAATTGAAGTCTAGAGCACTTATTCCCAACTACAACGTGCTTTACTTTTGCACAAAGCCTCTTCAATGGCTGAGACAAATAAATATTTTAATACACTATCTCCTCAAAATCTTAGCCGGAGAAACCCCTTTCAATCATGTATTCAATTCATAAAATTAGAATGCTTATCGTCTGACAACCAATCAATACATTCAACTCTACTAAATATCACAATGATGTTTGTCGCTGATTCAACGATTAAGAATGCCAAGATCTCTCGAAGTTCGCAGAGATAACGCCAAGTATTTTTTTAGTCACTCGCTTCGATAAAACAGCGATACTAACTTGAGATACTGATATGCGTTACAATTCATCTCGACCAGCAACAGCTTCACATTCTGTGGTACGTGACAAATGGCCATTTCGATACAAACATTTCCACAGTTGACTTTGTTAATAATTTATAAACTATTTAAAATAATTTCTTCCTAGCATTTTTTAAAATAAAATTATTACTAGACAAGTGACAAAGCGTGTGCAACGAAATCGATGCTAGGAGAATTTAAAAGTTAATAACTAGTAAATAAAAGAAATGAGTAGTATACCTAAGCATACTATTTTAAGGAAGCATGTCATGACATGCCTCTTTTCTAATACACAGATTCATACAAGAATTGAGCAAGTCTCAATATTCAAATAATTTTAATACGTAACAATAATTAACCTATCGTAAGTCATTGTTTGTTTGTTGTTGTTTTTTTTTTTTTTTCAGAATAACCACCAGATAAAATGGACTTACCGGACCATGTAACATCGTGATATACACACAAATAATATTAACAAAGTACAACTTCGATTGTCTAAAATGACATCAGCAAATCTGATCCTCATTACTCTTTTTTATACAAAATTATCTTCATTCTTTTCAAAAGACATTTTATTAACAAATTATCTGATGTAAAAGAAATTGCACAACACGGGTCTCATATCTATTATTAGTTCAAGTCAATATACGCACGAGAAGTACAATTGCTATTTAAACCATGTGAGCTTGAAGAGATCAACAGGATATGAGGAAACTGCGCCACAACTGAACGTTTAGGCTGAAGAGTGAAATGCCAAGAGGTACTGAATATCGGAAACTGCGTCTTATGACAGATGGATGTCAATAAAAACGAATTACTGAAGGTTGTGTCGTGCGTTCATTTGCCTCAACGTCTTTCAAAACAATTAAACTTAGTTGAAATTATTTCGAAGCACTTGTAAAACGTTCGTTTGTCTTCACACTTGGTTTTCTTATTTATTATTATTATTATTACTTTTATTATTATTAAAAACCTTATTCGACTAACAACATTCCACTGCAGTTTTCCATGCCGACATGTACTACCGTCAGTTGCCAAAGGAAACCCAAATGTCAAGCAATTAATTAGTAGAAAGACACAAAAGACGGGGCTGCAGTTGAGAAAGCGGAAGGTTCCCAGCATAACCGAGTGCGGTCGAGCACGAGAAGGTGGTCGTGACTCCGCGCAGATTCCCCGAACTGCGCTGTGTGGACCAAGTGCTCACCACGCCAAGGCTGCGCTCCGCAGTCAGGCGCATTCCACCCTCCCAAAAATACTACGCCACTACCTCAAATAATAACACTGTAATCTAATACGAATTTGTGTAATTGCTTCTCAAATGTGCGATAGTTCATTGCTGTGAAGAGGAAATAATAAAATGGCTTTGTCCATTTGGCAATTAATAGTTTTCATTACTCTACACCAGGGGTGTCCAACTTGAAAGTCCTCAAGGGCCATAACTGAAACATTTAATATGGCTGGTTTCATTACTCAGGCTACGCACACCTGATTTTCCAGTACTGTTGATCCCGGCACTTTGTCGGGCTGCTCTGAATGGGGGGGGGGAAGGAAGCATGTGTGATATCTAACCAATTTTTGTATTAAAGACGGCGTTGACCCCGCTAGGACGCATGCGCACAATCGTCTCGCCCGACATGGATGGGAAGGACTTTCATTTTTGTCTAATCTTTCGCAGGCCACAATAAATGGCACCGTGGGTCGCCAGTTGGGCAACCCTGCTCTACGTTATTCCGCTACCCCCTTGGACAAAGAAATCTGGATACCACCTTGCTCTCCGGAGAATATGGAGCCGGGAAGGAAACCGCCCACCGCATCTTAACAGAGCCCAAATCGTGGACACGCTGCCCCCTTCCCTCAAGGAGTGCGCACAGATTCGAAACCCGTGCAATTCAGTGAAAGGCTTGAACATCGATGTGTGTATATTTATTTTTATTCACGTTGTGTTTCAAAAACTTGCTAATCGTATTTTCTTCTTTGTTTAGCAGTTTATGCTTCACTTTTGCTGTCTTTACTTTAAATAACTTGACATGTTTTATTGGTTCCTTTTAACATACATTTAAAATAACTATCACAGGTATCTTGTAATGCAAACTGATCGGTCGATTGACTTGTTTTCCACGCACGTCGACAATTACGGTCAATCCTGTCAGTGTAACGAGCGTTTTTATGCCTAGAGGTGGCGGTGTTCCTGCCCCACCCCAGCCGAGACCAGCTGTAAGACCGCAATTGGTCTCTTGACACGAGTGATAGTACGGTGCATGTGTGTGTGTGTGTGGGGGTGTAAATAAAGAAAATGAGAAGGGCAAGGAAGATAAAGGAAATGTCGCATGGCCCGTTAATGAGGGTACTATTCGAACGTTAGCTTGGCATTAACCGGAGAAACTAGGAACAATGCTGATAAGAGCAGCGGCTGCTAATATGCTTCTCCAGAGTGCAGCTAAATTCTATCGAGCTATGCAACTGGCCCCGAAAATCCGCCACCGTCGAAACCCACGGACGTCCCGGCCAGAGACCCTGCGACGACAGCGGCAATGCTGGCTCTGAGGTACACTCAGCCGGTGGATGCGGCGGGAGGGCCGCCATCTGAAACCCTCCAACAGCCTCGGTCAGCCGCGGGGCGCGGGCGGGGCGGTGGTGGCGCGCAACGGTGTCGTGGGAGCGGCCGCACGCCGCGTGGGAGGAGGGTGACGCCGCGCGAGGGGCCGCCCCATGTCGAAGGCGACTCCGCGGCGCCGCGTTCGCGAGTCCGTCGCGTGCGCCCCAGCGCCAGCGCCACTCGAGAGCCGCACGATTTGCAAGCGGGGCAGCGGCGGCGGAGCAGTGGGGAAGGCACAGGTTGCCGCGACGAGGGGACGTACAGTGCACAGTATGAACTCAACCATGCAGACAGCGCCTTCTGTGATATCCAGTATTCAACTCAAGTGATATGAAAGT